AAGGGAATGTTGAACTGAAATTCAGCTTTAAATTAATTAGCAATTGACAGATAGAATTAAGCATGAGGTATTGCTTAAGCATTTGCTTCAGACAGTGAGCGATTCAGCTTTAGTTTCCAAACTGAGTCTGAATGGTGCAACTTTTTGGAAAATTAACACATATTTCATAATTTTCACAATGTGGAAAGATGAAAATTTTCCGTCAGCAGTAAAATTCATACTAACCCAGTTAGAACAGTTGATCGTTTCGATGTGACTTCGTGGAGAGCCTTTCTAGTGGCAATACTCTGCTGTAAACCGTACACACTTCTCACGTCATACATTCTGCCCTTTTCGGTTGATGCGAGCATGCACAGCGTTCGTGACGATAGCCATGCCTTTAAAATAGAACAGTTAATACTTCGGTTATGAAACAATTTGTCGAACGATTTCATCTCTCGTCACTTCCATATTCTGCAATCGATGCAACTGAACACACTGAGCAACGGCAACAAAACCATTAATATGCGGACACTGCCCGATTGCTCTTCCCCTTCCAGGCAAATGGAGTGTAAGATCGTTTTTGCTTATCCGTCCCATAAAGTGTCCACAATCAAACCTTCAGACAGTTCATCTGATTTCTTTCGCGAACAGCTCGGGAGACCTTACTGTTTTCTGCTAAAACTCGAGCCGGCGATTTTGAAGCAATTCTTCCAGGCAACACCACGACATTTCCATCTGATTTCAGAGAGGTGGAATTCTGGATCGATAAAATAATCGCGCAGTCGACGGTTCTATGCTATAGACGATGTCCCGAATGCACAGCACCAAATACAGTCCAAATCGTAGAATGAAACAGTACATAAAAACAAATTTGCGCTTTTAACAGTTATTCTAATCATAAGATTATTTGTCATCGAATTTAGCACGCTAAAATTCAAGAACTCATCTGTTCACCTCTTCGGATCTGCTTTTGTAATAATAAACACTGTAGGTTTGATACGGAGGCATATCGTAGTGTGAATCGTTTCCT